TGGGGACCAAACAAGGGATAAGTTGAATAAAAATATATAAGGATCAAAGGTCTAATTTTCTTGCATTAATTTATTTTATGTTTACAAGAATTTCATTAAGCAATAAATAATGCATATACGTCAAAAATCTTATTTAGTTAACAAGCATAAATTAGCAACCAAAGATTGTGATGAAGCTGGAAATGAAAACGAACCATATTGTTCAATGACAAGGGAAGCAATTAAAAAACAAAAATTATAGAAAAAATAATAGAAAATAGAGCATTTTGAGATGAATTAACATACAGTCCACCCATGACAAAGGCAATTCCAGCTGCATAAATTCTTCCTCCACTTTCTCCTTTGTGCATGATCAGCTGACTTCCATACCAAGCAAGTAAAGCCCATATTGCAAAAGAAAGTCCAGTACTTCCTACAGCAAGACCTTTCGCGATTCCTTGCTTCATTCCCAGTTTTTTAGTCCGATCCAGTATTATTGAATATTTTTCGATAATACTTCTCTCAGCAGTAAATGAATATACAGTTTTAATAGAGCTTAATGCTTGCTCTACTATCGCATTTGCTTTGCTGTATTCATTGAAGCTCTTTTTGGATAAATAAAGAAGGTATTTTCCATAAATCATTCCTGGAATAATTAGAAGAAGTACTGTAGGAAAAGCCACCAAAGATAATCTCCATGAGAAATAGGCTGAGAATGCAAGTCCTGAGATGAATGCTGACATGTTCATCAAGAATTTGGGTACCTAAAATAACTTAATAATGTTAGAGGGACTAAGAATGTTTGAGGTCTCCCTTTTCTGATACAAAATTCTGATTCTTAGGATTTGATATTTGAAAAGATCCAAAAAATAGAAAGCCATGCGTTTATATATGTACCTTCTCACTCAGAACTTCTTGTATGAGACAAGTTTCCTTTGAAAGGCTATTAATGATTTCCGATGTAGTTGCTTCTTGTGAATCAAAGAACCCAACTTCTTGCCTTAAAACAGCTTCCAAGTACTTGTATCGAATCTTCAAAACTTGTCGCTCGCTTGTTTTGCTCCAGCAGTAGCCTTCTGCAGTGGTTATTTTATTTTTTTCCCCAAGCAATTAACCATTTCATCATATGGACATGGAAAATGTAAAATAGAGATGCATTGATTTTGCTTTACAATTTTTTTTCCCCCCTTAAATTTAATTTAGTGTAAAACCATTTTTTCCTTCATAGAGCCTACCCTGCCCATTGACAGAAATAATTAGAAAAGATGGAGAGACACAAATCTTTACAAAACATTTGATGCTTATCCTAACATAAATGTAAGACAGTAAGACAATTAGGGTTTCAGAAATAACTTGAAAATTGTGAAAAATTTCCTCTTATTGACTTGTTTATATATGCCATGTGAATTAGGGACCTTGGATTGACTTAAGTTGGTGAAGGCATCTTTGCCTAACCATGTTACCTAAAAGGCAAGCAAATTAAGAGATAACTAATAAAGTGAAGCAGAAATTACCCATAAATGCAACAGCCATTACTGCTAGTCCCAAGTAGACAAAGTATAAACTGCACTGTAAAAGAATCCCAGAAAGCAAATATGAGAGATTGATAAACAAAGAATTAATTCAAGAAATAAAACATTGTAGACATGAAAAACTTAATCTGTGATTTAAGTCTGACCTTTTCAATTTCATTCATGAAATTCCCTTGATTCTTATGTGAATTACCATATCCCAAGCTATTGAAAAGTTTGCTAACATAAACCAGTAAACAGTTTGTCGACATGCCATCTCCAATGGCTCCAAAAGTCCCCATCAACAAAAGCAAAATGTCAAGCCAATCAGCATATCTGAATATAATGAAAAACGAAATTCCACGGTTTCTGGCCATCTCTTCTTTCTCTATCAGTTGTTTTGCTGCTGGAGGGGAACACATTTTAGCACTTATATAAGAACCTTGTGAGTTCAATAGTAAACTGAACAGGGTATTAACGTATCCCTTACAAAAAAGTGTAAAAAGAGAGATTTCTCGTATGCAAAAGCCTTGATTTCCTCTAATGCCGGTCCAGTTCAATGTGCTAGTATGCAAATATATAAACAATTTTCAACATCTGATTCTCCATGGAGCCTACATGACTCATATTATAAGCTTTATGGGATTGTTTTATTAATATCCCAAAAGAAAATCAGGAGATGAGCATGCCAACCTAACCTCTAGAAACACAAAGGACAATAAAAATGGAAGGAATTTTGTTTGGGGTTAAGCACTAATCTCAGTTGCCAAAGTAATAGTATTCTATATTGATTTACCATCATTATGGGACCTATATACGTACGTTACTACAATTTTCACTATGCTAGAAAATATGTGTATAGGTTTTCTCACGAAACGTCATATGTTAGAGTGACTTGAGACAAATATCGAATAACTAATATTTGCTTTCAAGGGAAAATGGTATAATATAAATATGATTATACTCTACATAGTCCAGCAAAATTCCCATTATAGGGCCCAGTGGGACTGTTTGCACAACCTTTTAATGTATTAGTGGCAGTCACTTTCAAAACCACCAATCCATGGTAGGTCTTTTGCAAGTAGGGTTTTCACAAAGGTGACACTGACATTGTTGTCCTATTACCTCCTTTTAATGTTTTTTGCTTGATATTGGTTTGCTTTCTCCTTGGTACATAAAAATATGAAGTTGCTTTTATTACGTTGTCATTTCAGCTTGTTTTATCTACATTAATTTAATCTTACATGCTTTTACCTATGGTTACTAGAAAGTCTAACTAAGCTTCGACATTCATTTAAGACCATCTCCAATGAATTACATCAAATTTCGTGTAATTTTATACTAAACTTGGTGCTATTTGATGTACTCTCTCCAATGATTACACCAATTTTTATTTTAAATTATGTAATTGAAAATTATATTATTACTAAAATAGTTAAACGAAAAATTATATTCAATGAACTAAAATATTGCATAAATTAATAAATTAAAAAAAACAGTAAACAAAAATTTTGATATATTGTATCAATAAAAAGGTCCATCACATTAAAATAATATAAATAACTTAAAATCAATTAATTCTAAAAGATAACAAAAAAGGATATAGATAGAACAAAAATTGTTTGTAAAGGGGAAGATATATAGTGCAAAATGGAGCATATTGAAAAACTTCAAATTTGGTGTAAATGAATAGTGTCACACCAAATTTTACACCATATTTGCCTAATCATTGGAGATGGTCTAATAGAAAATCAACGAGCACTCACATTTCCACAACATTTCATAATTTCACGCCTCTCACTCCTATTGGTTAAAATTAAATAGTGATCCGATGAATCTTCATATCGCAAAAATGTGATTCACGTTTTCTTTTCTAGCACTTTAATCTTTAACCTCTAAGATAGGATTAACTTAAAACTTTCATTTGAAAGAGAATTTTAGCCTTAACTTTTGGGAAAATAATGAAGTTCCTCTTTTGCTTCAACGGCCCACTGCGTATCCTATGCTGATCCTACTTTACTGGGAGCACTATATTTTATGTTTCAGTTCTCTCTTTCTCTAAACACTTTCATGCATGATTGAGCTCAATAGTTTTTGAAGAATAAGACGATTATCTGTAATATGTAATCTATTGCACAAAAAGGAAAGTGTAACCTCACCAAATAAAAGAAGAAGATGATTATCAGGTGCAAATCTTTATTTTTACCACATCTAATCTATGTTGCTAGAGGCAATACTGATAGTTTCATTACATTTATTTGCATAAGTGGCATGCAAGTGAACAATGATCCACCAAAAAAGAGCCTGCAGGACTGATCCCACAAGCACCAAATTTATCAGCTAGTTCAAAATGGAATTTCCCTAATTGACTTGGGGACAATATTCATTTTCTTTCACTTATTTCTCAGTATTTAACTTGGGGGCCAATTTTGAAGTATATTTTACTCAAAAAATTCTAGGAAACGTAAGGGGAAAAATATGGTTATGAATTTATAAAAAATAGTGAAAACTAAATGAATTTTGGGAAATGACAAAAAAGAGTGATGGGATAAATAAAGTAGTAGTAAAAAAGCACTACTATTTGCTATTATTTCAATCAATTCCTTTGATATTGGAGGTGCTTTAAGAAAGCTTTCTTTTGCATTAAGATTAAGGTACATATAAAGTAGGAATATTTAAGTTACACCTTCCATTTTTAGGTTAGTCAAGAATAGAAATTAAGAAAATGTTGTTTGGCTCAAACCAAAACCGTAAATGAAGTCATCTATATCCTTTCTATATTTTTTCTTTATAACTTCACTAAAAATGCAAGAATTTTTTTATTTTTTATTTTTAACACCTGACAATCTAACATGAAATACCCAACGTTGTGTGTCAATATAGTGTCAAAGATCTTGTGATAATATGAGTTGAGTGTTTGCGTGAAAAAATACAATATGACGCAACTTCTATTTTGTTTATAAATAAAATAGTTCAAACAAATGTATGAATGCTGGCACCTTGTAATGGAATGCTATATTGTTGACTAATTCACTATTTGAGATTGTGATTAGTTATTAGCACAAAAATAGTTTAAATGTAACACTAGTATACTTGAAGTATAATACAAACAGACCGCGTGTCGAGTTTAACTATAGCATGGTGTGCGAAGAATTAAATCTCATTTGATCGTCAGGTATTTTTTAAATCCATGGACAAGGTTGTGCATATCTTTTGCAAGTTTAATGGTTCTTTGATTCATGAATAGATGAGATCAATTTGCTTGATCGAATATCTCGATAAGTTGGGAGTTTGAGAACGAGTGAAGCAGAGAACACAATTTCATATAGGCAACAGTCACCCTAAATAACTAACCAAGCGACTACCTAATTGTTTATGTTGAACATTATAAATATAAACTCAGTGTTTAGTAATTGCTAAATTTCGAATTCTGTGATTGATTTATAGGACTGATGAAGAAAAAAAGACTTAAGTTAGTGAAAGTATTTAGAGGGACAAAACGATTATTTGTACTTGTATATAACTATCAGATCTTGGATATGGATGAAATACATATATGGTAGGTCATAGGAAAATATTACAAATATATTAGCTTCAATAATTTTATATATCTCGAGAGTATAGTCTTTTGTCTTTAGTGAAAAAAATAAATACTTATAATTTGATTGAGTTGTCTAGAGTCCATTAGACGCGATGTTGATAAGCAATTATGTGGATACAATGCTCTAACCATTGACGTTTCTCTAGCTCTCGTAAGAATTATAAGGCTTCAAATTTATCTTGGACGCACGAAAGTAGTTCAAAAAAGGGATTATTGGAGCTTGAATAATATGAGTTTGAACATGTCCTAATGATAGTTTGGTAAAGTTTTACACTTAATTGCAATTATTTTAAAAGTTTGACTTAATTGTAATTCTAATTAAAGTTTAGAAATTACATGTACAATTGATTTGACCCCATAAGTGGGATCAAGCATGTTGTCGCTAGAAAAGAATCTTGTATTTCTTCTAGAGAATCTCCTCATTTCTCCGAAGCAAATAAAACTAGATTCTTTGACCAGAAAGAATTTGGTACCAATCAAATCCATCGGAAAGATTTGAAATCAACCAAAGGAAAGAAGGCATTAAGAGACGTTCTTGATCCAACACTAGACACTCTAAGATCATTTTTCAAACCTGCTCCCTTAAGTCAATTTTAGTCTAATTAGACTTGTACTTGGACTAAACTTTTTGACCTATATATGCTAGTATGTAGTTGCCAAAATTTCATGGGTAAAAGGAGAAAAGAATTCTATTTTCTTGTTTTATTGATCTTTTCTTGATCCATCCAATTAGAATTGAATTTTTAATTCAATTAAAAGAATGTGCCCATATTTCGGTGCAGTCTTGAGTTTGAAAAATATCATTGAAGGTTTGAAGTCACAAATTTTTGAAATTAAAATCTGAAAGTTCGTGATTTAAATCTAATCAAGAAGTTGATTATCAAATTTGATGAAATTCCAAATCTTTATTTCTTGATTATATCATACAAATGGACGTCTAGTGTGATATTGGTTTCTTGAATTAGAGGATATTTTAATTTTTCGGATAATTCTTGTTCCGCATTCCAAAAATTAAATACCTAACAACGTTACCAAATCTGAAAATGCCCAACGTGACCTGATAAAAGATCTCTTGACCAACCACAGTCTGAGTTAAAAGTTTGATGAAAACACTCGAACTTAGTCTAGTTGAGACTTCTCTATTAAGAGTCTAATTAATTTGAAACGATAAGGTTGACATATTTGAAGTTCATTATTTGATAAGATTCCAGACATCCAAAAGACGATGTTTTTATTTCATTCAAAAAGGTTGACAACGTTAATTATTTTTGAATACGTTTAAAGAGCATTTAGATATTTGGTTCATGTGAATTATTTGTATTTTTATATGTCGATCATATTGAACTATGTTCTCGAGTTCAAATATTATGTCATCTCTTAATTCTTCAAATTTAGATACAATCAACACTGACAGTAAACACATTGAGAGAATTCTTGTGCAGAAAACTTCAAAAAACATAATATAATCAAGTAGTAATGACAAAAATTTCAAGAAAAAGCAAATTAAACTTACTGGTTGTAGCAAGAAATTCAGGCCTTAATTATTTGAAATATCCCTCTTCAAAAATTCCAAAGTATCCTCATCGAATTCCTCAACCCTGTCGACATGAGATCAAAAATTTTATGTATACTTCAAGTGATATCGAAGAAAGGAGAATAAACAGCACTGGAAGTATTTGGTTAGTTGAACTCGTACACGATGACCAGTGTTTAATGAGACCATAAGTTGCACGATGCACATAATTATGGTCGGACATTTTGAAGCTATATTTGAAGTCGATGAAAGTCGCCAAAAGAAATGTAGTATGTTAAAATAATAAT